TAAGAGCCACGCTGCCGCATCTCGTCCGGTGGGTCTACCGACCAGACTTGCTCTGCTGCGAGCACCCTGCCATGAGGCCCGCTTTAGGGGACGTGCGGGAGGAGTGCTGGTCCTGCGGTTCGGGGCCATGTGGGGCTTTAGAAGCTTCTCATGACTTTGGGACTCCAGTAGGGGCAGCTCCTCAGATTGTACTTCAGAAGTTCGGGGTAATTGGTCTCTGCAAAACCCAGACTAAATTTCATCCCGAAACCAGGAGCTGGGGTCCTGTGCAATCTCTCCCACAGAATCTCGCCAAAATACACAGGACCGAATCACAATCCTTTTCTCAACACCCCGGCCCGCCGACCGAATCCATCAAAAGCCGACACCTGTCGCTTCTTTTTGTGTGCAACAGCAAAGCAGCGGCAAATGCTTCACGGGCTCGCAAGAACATCCCGCAACCCTGAACCCCAGCAGCATGCGCCAACTGGGCCCTGCACGAGGCCAGCGTGTGGAACCCCACATTCTGGTCACTCATTCGCGTTGCTCCACCGAAGCCACAAACAACGAGCCTCGCAAGAAGCTGGTGAGTACACGTGCAGGTGGCATTCATCATGGACAGTTCCTAACACCACCGCCACCACCACCACGACGACGACGAACACGACGACGACGACGACGACGACGACGACGACGACGACCACGACGTTTCAGCCGTGGCCGCATCTAGATTCGAGGTCTCAACTTTCCTTGACAGTGGCAGGCTTGCTTGAACTCGTGCTCCGGGGATGCTCGCTGCTTAGAATTGGGGGCGGGCTCTACTATCATTTACTATGGGAATTGCGCTATCCACCGTGGGCCGCCCCTTCCGTTATACAGCACCTGCTACAGCTCCGCTACAGCTCCGTTGAACCTCCGTTGCTGCTCTGTCACAGTTTCCGCTAGAGCTCCGTTACAGCTCCGTTTCACCTCCGTTACAGCTTCTTTACAGCTTCCGTTACAGTTCCGTTACAGCTCCGTTACAGCTCCGATGCACCTCCGTTCCAGCTCCGTTACAGCTCCCTTGCACCTCCATTACACCTTTACAGCTTCCATTATGCAGCTGCGTTACAGCTCCGTGACAGCTCCGTTGCACCTCCATTACAGCTCGGTTACAGATTCCGTTACAGCTTCCGTTTCAGCTCACTTGTACAGCTCCGATACAGCTCCGTTGCACCTAGGTCCGTTATCCAGTTGCTGCTTCTGCTACACGGCCCGTTACAGCGCATCGCTACAGGGGTAGTGCTCCGTTGCATGCAGCCTTTCGATACGTGTCCGTTGCAGCTCCGCGACAAATCTGTTACAGCTCCCCTCCTTTCCGATACAGTTTCTGTTGCACGCCTCGTTACCGGCGAGCATTTCTGTCCTAGTAGAGGCCTGCAAATGATGGTAGAGCCCCGCCCCAAGCTTAGAACGATAACGTAGAGCCCCCCTGAACCCGAAACCCGCAACCCCGATGTTGAAAGGTATCATTGAGAATCCCTTGGCAAACGGGGGCGCCCAGAAGGGGCCCTAATTGAGAACAACCCTCTAAAACCCGCAAAGGCCCTAAAAGGCCCTAAAGGCCCGAAACCCTAGACGCCAAGCCGGAGGCCTAAACCATACACCCTAAACCCTAAACCCTAAACCCTAAACCCTAAACCCTAAACCCTAAACCCTAAGCCCCTAAACCCTAAGCCCTAAACCTAAACCCTAAGCCCAGACTACCACCACTACCACCACTACCACCACTACCCACCACCACTACCACCACTGCCACCACTGCCACCACTGCCACCACTACCACCACTACCACCACTACCACCACTACCACCACTACCACAAGCCACAAGCCACAAGCCACAAGCAAAAAGCTACAGTCTACACAGTACAAACTACCACGCGCGTGCACGCAAGCACGCAAATCCGATGGGCATCTTGCTGACGTGGTCCCAAACTAGTCTGATCCTCATTAGGGGAAAAGGAAAAGATACTGCACCCCCCCCCCTATATTTCGGAAAACCCAACATCCTGGGTCCCGCCTTGAGGTTTGGGAAGAGACGACCAGAGGAGCTCCAGTGGGTTGGAGGCAGCTGCAGGTACAACACGTTCGGGCCGCGCCAGGCTGGAACGATGAAGTGCTGACTCGGCTTCGCCGACCGACACGGCACCAATTCTCAGAACCCGGCAGCAGCTTTAGCATGGGTGGCTGCGTACACATCATCGGATGTGCGCAGGAGCTTTGCTCAGTCAGGAAAGTCAAGGCTTCTGCGTTACAGCTGCACGACCAGCCGAACGTGGCAGGGTGTAGCCTGTAAGCTCTGCCATGAACACGCAATGTCTGCAGTCCCTTAAGCTGCGCCTTATGATCGAATGCAAAATGCAAGAAGAGGCTTGTCGGGAATTCGAGGATGGAGCCACGCTCTGTGCCATTTGCATAGCAAGGGAACTCCCAAAAGAGAGGTGTCAGCAAGCCAGGCCTCTGCCAACTCGCTTTCACCATTTCGATCCTGAGTCTGCCTGGAAGCGAACGTCACAAGACGAAACCTCGGTTGACTCGTTGGCGGCACCCGGCGGGGGCCTACAGTGGGCCTCGCCAGTCTCACAACAGCACACGAGCGGGTGCGTGTGCTGAAACCGACAAGTACACCCACGGCCTGCGCCTGGCCAGGTTTGCTGCGCCGGGACGACACAGGAGGCTCGTGTCCAGGGATGCACAGCTGATGGTGGGCTCGCCTGTGCCCTCCGCCTCTCGCTGCACACCAGTGGCTAGAAAGGCATCAAATGCTTGTGGAGCGCCCTGCTTGAGCGATCCGGCGACTTGCTATGTCGCATGTCAGTTCGGAACTTGAAATGGATTTGTTTCTCCTCGGCATTCCTTCTGGAAGATCATGGGGGAACCGCCCTGTGCTGGCCTGCTCTCATACCTGAATGAGCCTGACTCCATGATTTCAAGGTCCAGCTCCTGACCTGCAGATGAAAACTTTCAGAAAGTTCCATGGTCGGCCTAAGCCAACGACAGCCCGCACCACCGGCAAACCCAGTCGAAAGCCTGAGCCCAGGCAATTAGGGCACTGCGCTGAAAATAAGAACCCCGCAGATGCCTTCTTCCCGAAATCGAGAATTAAGCCTTCGTCGCACCGCTGCTTTGCAGTGCGTCCTCGACTTAAGACAGCCGGTGAAAGTCGTAGCCTTCTTGGCTCAGAGGCCAGGGTGATGCAGAGCCCAGGAGGGCCCACATCCCAGCTCCGGCACCCCGAGCTCAAGCTCAGGGATCTGAGCTCCCCGCCCTTCCGCCTCCCAGCTGACAGGATCGGAGCAGGCTGCAAACACAAGACCGTCGAGATCCACAGGGTTTGACGGTTGGTTTTGGAAGCTGCGCGAGGCGGGGTGGACCTGGCTGGTGCAAGGTCATGCTTAAAGTAGGTGCTGGGGGGCAGGACTCAGGGACTTCAGGGACTTTAGGGACTTCAGGGATTGCAGGGACTTCAGGGACTGCAGGGACTGCAGGGATTTCGGCTGTGAAGCACATCGCTGCAGTGTTTCGGCTCTCAGCACGGGGAGCCGCGAAGCCGGCGAAGCCGCTTGGAGCCGCGAAGGCGAGACTGGAAGCCCTGCTCTTGGGCATCACCATGCCGCGGCTGTAGCTCAGCGTGCTAGGGGTGATAGGGCTGCCAGGGCTGAGGGGGCTGAGAGCAGCACGGACACCGCCACGGGAATCGCAGCCGAGGGTTGAGGCACTTGCTTTGGGCGTCTTCGGCGTCGTTAAGAGCATCGACACGTCACCTAAACTCAGCCTGCTCAGCCTGCTTCAACGAGGGCTTCACAGTCTTCACGCATCGGAACAGGTCCTCCATGCATGAGAAGCAGTGGCGCCGATTGCTATGGCCAGATGGCCCAAATGACCCGCTCACCGCCACACCTGCCTTCACAGAAGTTATGGGCCTCGAGCTGTGCTCTTGGCCTTAACGGGCCCAGGCATGCAGCCGAGTGTCCACGTCTTCAGCACCGGGATCTGGCACGTTGGTAGGGAATTCATCCGGAATGCTGTGGGACAAGGTGTCCGGCTTCGGCAGGTGCTTGGGGTGTCGGTTCCTGGCACAGCAGCCAAGGAGAAAAGAATCAACGGCCGGATTGCACAACTCATGCTGGCAGATGTGAGAATCGTCGGCGCCACTTCGGGAGTCACAATGACTCGCGCAAAGTGCGCTCTGCTTGCCACTTTACGCACGCCGCACTGTGCAGGCTGTGCAGGGTCCACTTTGGGTAGTCCCAATTGACAGGCCGACACCTTCCGGATAAAACAACGACGCGCTAAGCCGCTAGTGATCTTAGTGAACTCCGAGGGCACTCTGAGCTCCGGGCTGCGCACGTCTCGCACGTCTCGTGGCGCGTGCCTCACGGGTGACAGCGGTGATCCTGCTCAAGCGCGCTCTGTCCTCAACCACGTGCGCGCACGCGACCGTGAGCAAGCGTCAGCCTCTTCTTGCAGCACATGGCAACATTGGCAACCAGGTTCTGAGGCCGGGAGGCTACTGAGCGGCTACTGGAATCCTGGGGATGGGATCCGGGCCTTGGCCAATTCCAACCACAGCCCTGAACTTCAAGGCCTCAAGCCCCATTCATGCACCTTTTCCTGCGCTTGGTCCGTGGATTCTCTGGTCTCCCTGGGCATCAACTTCACCCACGCTTCGGGAAGGCCCCGGGCCTCGTTGACGTGAGATGCAGGCAGGGCACCCGCAAAAGCTTTGCACATGGCGACGTCGGACTCCGGCACAAGATCGGACCGTCCGCTCTGCAAGATTCTTTTCAAAACCCCTGCGCCTTTAGGCATCCGAGGCTGCAGTGCCCGAAAGGCTAAAGATGTGCAAAGACTTTGGAAACAATCGGGCACTGCTGCGTGTGACCTGCTTCGGATGAAACCAAGGCACACTAGCCTCCGCGATCGCGACGCGCTTTCTTCAGGAAAAGGATGCAGCTGCGGCTGGCAAGGGTGGCAAGGGTCCAGCCGCGGCAGCTGGCCGAGCTGTGCCGACTGCCGTGGGCCCTGTCCGCCTTGCCTTATCGCTGCTAAATGTGCAAGCAGCATGTACATACTCGGCATCCCGTCCGGAAAGTATGTGGTCCAACTCAGATCATCAAGACCATGCAGGGGGTCAGCAAATAGCCAGGCGTGTATAGCGTCATGCCTGTGGTACCCTCTGCTGCTGCCAGGGCTGTCAGAATGCTGAGGGCCTGGGCGGCCTGAGTGGCGGCCTGGGTGGCGGCCTGGGTGGCTCCTTGGAGATTCCTGGGCCTACTGTCAGGCATTAAGTGTCCCCATTCTTCCAGCCTAACCGTTACTAACCCCGACCGAACTCTTGCCAACGACTGGCTTCACCTGGAAGACAGCAGGGCACTGCATAGACGGTGTCACTGCGCTTCGGAGGCCACTATAACAGCTCCAAAGGCATTGACTTCAAGCGGCATATGGCTTTCAGTTCCGAAGAGCTGCGTTGGTTCGGGTAGGTTATGCACAGCGCCACGTCGAGCTCTGAGAGGTCGAGTTGCTTCGGGGCAGGCTCCCTGGAGACACGGATGGAATGTCTGGTTGCCCCTGTCACCTTCGTGACGAGGCATGCTCCTCGCAGTGCCTTCACGCAGGCTGGCTGGGAGAAGCAGAGCTCATGCAGTTTAGGGCCTGGCGCGCACGGCACCTGAGATGATGGCCGGGGTCTCGCAATAGGGCCGAGGCGGCCGAGGCGGCCGAGCCGGACGACCAAGAGAGGGTGGAATGGGCTGATTGTGGAGGAAGAGAAGCTCTCACAGCCCTGGAGCTGAGGCTTTAGCGGCTTTAACGTCTCCAAGGCCACATGTGAGGCCATCCCTGAACGTCGGCACCTGGCCTCCTTTACAGCCTTCACGAGTCTGCAGGACGGGGAATCAGGACACCTCCAAAACTTTTGGAATCGGACAAGATGTCGAGCAGCTTCTTCAGCAGTCCGATGGCGGCTTTGAAGCTTCGCGGGATATCTGCTGGACCTTCCGTTGCCAGGAGCTGCGAGGCCGCGGCTGCGACGCGTTTGCAGACCGCAAGCTCAGTCAGGTTGTTCTGAACGTACTGGTGGCCTGCATCTTCCGGGAGTACCCAGGCATCCTCCGGAAGTATCCACACAGGTGAGACTTGCTTGACAGGCTCATAATATTCCTTGGCCTTCCGGGTGGCAACCCCAGAATGCTTGCTTTCTGCAGGCAGATGAAGCAGCTGAAGGCTTGTGACTCTCGAAACAGGCCTGACTACGCGGCAGCCTGCTCATGGCTGGCTGCGTTGAGTGCCTTCAACAGGGCCACGTCACAGACGCAAGGGGAGGAGGCCAGGCGAGGCACATTTGTCACACCGACCCAGCAGCCGCTCGTCGCAGTGACATTTCCACTAGCACACCTCCAACGTGCAGCAGTGGCTGTTCTTACTGTCAGTGAAGAAGCATTCCTCCAGCTGCTATTTAGCCGAGACACACCGCGCCTCAGACAACCTGTTTGGGGCCAAGCGACACCAGTGGCTTCAATCGCTTGGATGTGCTCAGACTGGAGGTTCGCTGACGCATGCCGTGGAAGTGCTGAGCTGTTTTGGTGACATGAGCCCTTTCTGGCTTGCAAAATGTGGTCAGACCATTCACAAATGCACGGGAGAGCAGCTAGCAGGAGAGCAGCGAGCTGCACAGGGTGCGAGGAGAGGCAGCGGCTGCACAGCTGCGTCGATCACATCGGGACATTTGTGAATGATCGCCCAGCCCATCGCCCAGCCCATCTTCAGAGGAGTCGAAGCCATCAACGAGGAACTCTGAAGGAGTTCTATCAATTGCCACGTAGCCTTTCAAGGACATCAGTCCAGGGGGCAGGATCGTCAGGATAGTCCGCAAACCAGGTGGCAAGCTCAGCCTTTGGCCGTTGCTGCATCGGGCTTGTGAGCATCTTCATGCAGTCGAACGCTCGAAGAGGCACTCTGCAGGAGTTCAATCGATCGCATAAAAAGCCTTCGATGGAGTTCAGATCTTGGGGGACACTATAGTCTGCCAGGCGGCTGGCAAGATTAGCTTTTGGCCGGTGCTGCATCAAGGGACCAAACAGTCCAAGAGGCACTCAGCGGGAGCAAAAACACTTGCCAAGCAGCCTTTCATGGAGCTAAGATCCTGGGGCGCACGCCTATCCTGGGGGGCACGATACTCTGCCAGGCGGCTGGCAGGCTTAGGCTTAGCCATTGGCCAGTGCGGCATCAGGCCAGTGAGCCCCTAGTGGCTTCCGTCAGGCTCAGTCACAAGGCCATGCAGCGACCTCGGCTGCACATGGCGAGTCACCAAGCCACAAAGCTTTGTATGCCTGAGCCATGCATGGCAAGACTGTGCACCGAAACATCACATGCGGCATTGCACGGGAAGGCAGGGCGCCAGGGAAAAGCAGGGAAGTGAAAGGACGGCATGGCAGCGCGGGACGTGGCGGAGCAGCTCAGTACCCAGCCGGACATGG